GAAGGAGCCATCATTGCTGGGGGACGGAGACAAGAGCCACAGTGAGGGCCGGGGGAGGCAGTGGGGGGGGGGGCATCAGAAACTTGGGGCTGGAAGGGGTGGCTCAAGATGCTTAAGGAAGGCGGGTGGAGTGATGGAGGGGAGGCCAGGGAGGGCTGCGGCTCAACTTGTTCTCCAGCACGATCTCTGGAGCCACAGCATGTCAGGGGGCAGGCGCAGGATGCTGACATTCCCAAATTCTTCGGTATCCCACTGCAGTCGGCTATCTGTCCAGCCCTGGAAGCCCGAAAAGAATGTCAGCAGTGGGTTCTGCTGTTGTCCAGGCTCCCCCACTCCCCTCGCCCACTTCCCTGGGGGAAGACTACACAGGGTCTGAGAGCTGTGACAAAAGAGTTTGGGGCAGGTGGGTACAGAGTGGTGACTCTAGTCTGTCATGTACAGCTGTGTATGATGTGCACTGCACAACTAAGGGAGCACTATTTCCATAGTGGATGGAGAAAATTTATATCTGTATTATGAACTTCTAATAGGTAGCAGAGAATGTCTTCTAATAAAACCAGGATATTGTGATAATTTTCCCATAGATGAAGAATCCTAATCTACCGGAAGGCCTATCTAGGTGGTGGGAAGGGCAGCTGTGCCTGGGTTTCTCCATAGGGAGGAGCCAGCCCCTCCTGGAGGACAGTGTCTGAGGCAGGCTGGGGATCCCCAAGCAGAAGTGAGCACAGGGAGCCTGGGCCCTGCATCCTATCCCCACCCCCGCTCTGAGTAGGGTGTTCTCCTTACGTGCTCTATCCACACGTTAGTGGTGAGGTCTCCTCGACTTCTTTCTGTAATCACACAGGAGGACTGTCCCCCAGGGTCCACTCATCCCCATGCTTCCTCCCCACCCCTGCACACATTCACCGATGCCTCCTTCCGGCTGCCACCCAGGGGAAACCATGGCAGGCAGTGGCCCAACCAGACTCCTGCCCCAAGCACTCCCCGTCGGGAGAGGGCGCATGGCCTCTGAAGCGTGTCATGAGTGTGACATGGGGGCACCCCAGAGCTGAAGTTGGAGGGGAAGGGTGTCAGCCGGAGGCCTGTGGGCAGCACGGGTCATCGGAGCAGCCAGGGCCTGTTTCCTGGGGAGGGAGCTGCCATGGGCCTGGCGGGGCCTCAAGCTTCCTCCATGGCCATCCTGGTCTGGGAGACGCCAGGCCTCCGGGAAGCTGTCCCTGCCTTCCTGTCCCCTGCCCAGCCACAAAGGGGCCCCTCACCAGGGAGATGAGGTTGGAGAGAGTGAGGGCCAGCGAGACCTCCACGCCCCGCTCTTTGGCCCACGGGCCGGAGCTCCTTGTTGTAACCCTTCTCCTCAAACAGGTGCCGGATCAGCCGCTCTTCCTCGTTCAGGCCCCAGCTGCCTGGGGTTGGGGGACAGGGACGGGGCACTGGGCGGGGGCCCAGGAAGGAAGCTGGCCTGCGGTCCTGCTGGGCCATGGAGCTGGGCTGAGCAGGGGAGTCCCACCACTCCCCAGCAGTGGGGTCCTGGTGGCCTGACCCTCCAGGGAGAAATGGCAGAGCGGAGTGGGGAGTTGGGCCTCTTGCTGGAGGAAGCACCCTGTGGAGGGGCAGGAGGGACCATGCAGTGGGACCCAGGTGGGCATCCTGAGGGACCCTCGGGCGGGTTGATGCCCACTCTTACCACACACGACCAGGGTGGCCAGCAGCCCCAGTGTTACCACAGGCCCCTCCATCCTGTCCCTCTGGCTGGCTCTGGTGTCTGCGCCTTCTGTCCCCAGGGCTGGGGAATGTGGTGGGTGGCAGGAGGGACAGGTGCAGGGGAGGAGGCAAGGGAAGAGGCAGCCGGAAACGCAATCTGACACCTCTAGACTCTTTGGCAGGGTAGAGAACCAGGGCGGGCAATGAGGGCGTGGGGACAGGGACTGGCCAGCGGCAGGAGCCAAGGACATGAGGCAAAGATCCCAGGCTGGTACTTACCGCAGCTAGCGTGGGCTGAATGGAAACACCGGACATGGGGGACAGCGCTGGTCAGCCACGGATGGGGAGTGGGACAGGCAGTCAGCTGCTGCCACTTCTTTGGGAAGCAGTCATGTATGCTGAGATGGGGGCTTAGCAGCTCCTCTCTGGGGTTTTGTGACACTGCTTCTGGAGGCTAGGCCCTGCCTGGGCACCCCCTCTCCAGAGATCTAATGCCCACCCACCAGTTCCCATCCCAAGAAAGAGCCAAAATTGCTCCTTGGGTCATAAATAATGTTTATTAGAGCAGCTGTGATTTTCTGATGGCAAATCTGGGAAGACACATGGGGCCTGGGACTCCCACCCCACCCTCACCCCACCAGCCAACGATGGCTGTGACAGTTTGTCATCGTGCTCCCTGAACCCCTCCCAGCCCCTAGGAGCAGTAAGTCCTGACCAGGGCTCATGGCCTGGCTGGGGGATCACGAGGGCTGAGGGGTGGTGGCTGGTCCTCCCCAGCCCCCGCTCCTGCCTTGCACCTATCTGGGGTCCTCGGGCTCTGCCTTCTCCAGGGCGGCCAAGCGGAAGGCCTGCAGGGCCTGCACCAGCAACCGGGGAAGACTGCAGCCAGCGTGGCCTGCTCCAGGCCCACCAGGCCCCCAAAGACCACGTGCCGGCCCCCAAGCCGCCCGAACCCAGGCTCGGAAGAGCCCGGTCAGCGTCTTGGAGCCCAGATCTGCCAGGACCTGCGAGGAGGAGAGAGCTCAGGAGCCCACAACTACTCTCTAGGTCCCTCTCCTCCTGGTCCCAGAAACTCCATTTAGACCCACCCCCCTCTTTTACGCGCCTCCACAACCCCACACATTCCTGCTCACTGAGACCCTCCACAAGGCCCTTCACTCCCCTCTTCCCCCCTCCCCAGCACCCCAGCTCACGCACAGCTGCCCTCCCTACCCCCTTCCCTTGGACAACCAACCAACCCCCCCCCCCCGCTCCTCACCCCCCGCCCCCCCCGCCGCCCCCCACCCCCCATCCCGCCCTGCTGGTCAGGTCAGCTCTCTGAGGCCACCGTGAAGGAGGCTGGGAAGCCAGGGACCTGCCTCATGGAAGTCCATGGCCAGGTGCTCTGGGGGGACCTGCAGGATCCAGGCATGGGTGCCCTGGAGGGTGGCCAGCTTCTGCCGAAGGGGCTCCAGCCCGGGGCAGCCTGCAGGAAGAGGGGCCCCGGGAATGAGCGAGAACTGACACCAGCATGGAGCTGGCGGTGGGGCTCCCACCATTACCTCAGGACCGCCTCCCAGGAGGCGGACTTCTCAGGCGGCTGATGCGGGCGCAGGCTCAGAGAGGTTAAGTGATAACACCAGCCCAGCATCTCTGTTGATACTGATGAGGGCCCAAAGCCATAAGTCCCCCCAAGAGTCATCAGCCCTACTGCGGCGGAGGGGGAGAGCGGGTCTGCCCCATGCCCCACGGCGTAACCGCTTCGCAGTGCAGACCCAGGGGACAATTCCTTCCCCGCCTCGGCCGGCCCTTGGCCCACACCCCTGCCTATGGCCGGCAGGGGGCGTCATTACCGTTCGCTTCCCCGCGCTGCTCGGGCCTCCGCTTCGGGAACCGAGCGCCCGCAGCCCGCGATCCTGGGGAGACGCAGGGTTAGGGGAACGCCTCGGCCGTGCAAGTGGGGCCGGGGCTGGGCTGCGAGGGCGCGGGGTACCTGGGTGCAGCCGCTGCTCGCGGACGGGGTGCCTGGCAGACTCCCGGAGCCACGGAGCCGGGCGAGCCAGGGCCGAGGCCAGGCGCCGCATCCCCGGGCGCGGGCCGAGCAGCTCCTGGGCGCCCCGCAGCAGCTCGAGCAGGGTGTGGGCCAGCGAGCGCAGCTCTGCGGGCGGGACAAGGGTCCGAGCGGCGGTCAGACGTGGGCCAGGGCCCCTACCTCCCTGGCCCAGCCCTGGGAACGGGACTGACCGCATCTCCGCCTGCGCTGCAGGCACTGCTGGTGCGCCGGGCGCGCACAGGCGCCGGGTGGTCCGGGGCACAAGTGGGCGTAGAAGGCGCAGGGCGTGGCAGCGGCTGCCAGCGGCTCCTCGGGTGGGTCCCAGGCGAGAAGCTCCCTGCAGCTGGGCTCGCGGCTGGAGGGGGCCGCTGAGGGGGGCAGCAGAGGCCAGCTCAGCCCCCGCTTTGGGCCCCTCATCCCTTCGCTGGAGCGAGACAGGCTTTCCCGACGCAGAAGGGGCTGGGGCGGGCGAGGTGGAAAGGGGCACGTCTCAGGGCTGTTAGCGGGACACTCCGGGCGGGGGAATAGGAACAGGCGCTCACCGCTCATCTGCTCCTGAAGCCAGTCCTTGAACACGGCCACACGGGTGTAGACGCCGGGCTTCCCTGGCTCCCCGCATCCGTCCCCCCAGGAGGTGACTCCATACAGGACCTCCCTGGGGCGGGGGCCAGTCTCAGAACAGGTCAGGGGGCCTCCAGAGTCACCCTGCGGGGACCCGAGCCAAGAAAGAGGGCACTGCGTTGACCCGCCCCCATCATATGCCAGCAGCTCTGAGCTCTACCAGAGTTATCAGTTTTGTACCCATTTTAGCGATGAGGACACAGAAACTCAAAGAAGTTGAGTGACAGTCTGCCTGTAGAAGGAAAGGAGGCTGTCCCGCCCCTGGGGAGCAGCCCATCCATCGACCTTCGATCAATTGGGGCTCATACCTGGCACGAATCGATGCCTCCGGCCAGGTAGCCCGCACACAGCATGCTGCTGGGGCGCAGCCCCGGCCCCAGAGCCCTTCTGCAGGTGTCGGCGCTGAGCAGGGGCACGCGGGCCTCCCTCACCGCCTCAGCCTCAGGCCCGTCTACAGGGAAACGACGGAGGGAGCTCAGGCCTGCCGGACAGGGGCCCCCACTTGGCGAGGTCCCCCTCCCACTCTATTCCTGGATTCCTCCCCCTTTGCAAGATGGAGCAGCACTTAGCGAAGACAGCTGAGCCTAGGTCAGATTCCTTACACTCCACCCTTCCCAAACTCCGTCACCCCAGCACGTGTGCGGCCCACTCAGACCCGGCCCGGCCCGGTACCTTCGAAGAGGGCCCCCCAGCCCGCGATAGCGCAGGCAGTGCCTGTAGGGGGCTCCCGGGGCCTCTGGGGCAGGCACACTGGGCGCGCCGCCCCTGCCCGGCTCACCGGGGTCCACAGCTGCACCAGGGCCAGGTCGTTGTGGAAGGTCCGCGGGTCAAACTGGGGAGGGGGCAGTGGCGCAAGGTCAACGGGGTGTGGCGTGGGATGCTCTTCCTAGCTCTGAGGGCCTGGGGACTGCCCTCTCACCTTGGGGTGGGGCAAGATGCGGTTCACGGGGACCTCCTCCGCTTGCTCACCCCGGGAACCCTCGGCCAGTGTCACCGTCCACAGAAGCTCGTTCGGGGCGCTGCGGGACGAATGGCTAGTGATACGCAGGACAAGGATGCGGCGAGGTCCCCCGGCGATCCCGCCCTCCGCCCACGGGCATCACCCAGCGAGCCCGCCGCCGGGGTGTTTTTCGGCCTGGGGGCAGGGGGCGCGGGCCGGGGAGAAGCGGCGGCCCGAATGCGCACCGCGAGGCACCCCCCCAAGATCCGCGCGGTGGCTCGGCCGCGTGGGTGCCCTCAGGCGGCGAGCTGGGGAGGGGGCCGCCGCCAGGGGGCAGCAAAGACCGGCCCTCTCGCGAGTCGCCGGCCCGACGACCCCGGAAGAGTTGGATCCTGCGTTGGGGACCCGGGCTGGGCAGGGGCCTGGGGCCGGACGTACCCCGCGAAGCAGTGCGCCGCCGTGAGCACCCAGGACGCCGCCACCAGGACGCCGCCGCACAGAGGCTGCCCGCCGAGTAGCAGCCTCACCAGCCAGGGCCAGGCCCCGGGCGGCGCCGCGCTGCCCCCCACGATGCGGCCGTGGGCCCGCGTCACGTTGACAGTACCCGGGGGCCTCTCCCCACACGGCCCTGGAAAGGCGGAAGCGGCGTCACGAGGGACAAGTCCTGGCCGTCCCCACCATCGAGGCCTCTCCAGGGTCCACCCTGCTCTCAGCCCTGCCCCCTGGGGCCTATCCAGCCTCACCTGGCTCAGGTGGATCCTGGAGGAGGGGGCCTTGAGGCCTGGGGCGCCCAGGTCCTGCTGAGAAACAGACCTTTGAGCTTCGCTGCCACCCTCCCACCCTTCCTCCACCCCAGGCTGGGCCTGAGCTCTCTCTCTGCCCTGAGGCTCCCCTTCTGTTCCCTCTCCCCCTAGCAGCCACACACCGCTCACTGTTCACCAAGGGAGCCCAGACTGTTCCTGCCCTCCGCCTTTGCACATGCTGTGCCCCAAGCCTGGCATGCCCTTTCCACTTAGAGAGACCTTCATAAGCGTAGTTTTGGTTGCAGCACCACCCAGTTTCTGTCCCCAAGAGGGAGTCAAGTCTGAAGGGAGGGGATGGGGTGCACGGGAGACCCCGCCCAGGGTGGTCAGTGCAAGCTCACCAGGGCATGGGGCGGTGGTGTTGCCACATCCCCGGCACTCGTGCAGTCTGTGCTGGAGCTCCATCGCCACTCGATTTACAGCCCACAGGGCGCTCCTCTGGGCGGCCTGCAACACTTTTGTCCCCTGGGCTGACAGAGCTGCTGGGATATGGGGCACAAGTCCTGAGTGGCTGGGGAGGAGCCTCAGGTTCATCCTTCTTGCCCCAGCCCCAAGCCCTGCCTTGGAAGACCCACAGGGAAAGACTGGGCTCCAGGCGCACTGGGGCGGAATGGGGAGGAGGGACAGCCCCAGGGTCCAGCGCTCAGAGCAGGCGGTCCAGATTTTCAGCCCAAGATATCTCCGTTATTCAACTGAGCTGGGCTGGAATCTTTGGAAAGGACCTTTCCTTAAAAACTTTGAAGGAAAAACAGCACCCCAAAGGTACGGACATCACAGAACTCAGGCTTATTGACACAAAATAATTGTGGTCGAGTTGCCCACCTTTGGGCCTGGATAGCCAAGGGGATGCTGCCCCGGGCCCCTTCCTCCCCGCTAAACGCGAACCTTCCCGAAAGCACATCCTTTAGCAGTGCTTGCTGGCTACCGTTCCCTTCCACCTTCGTCCTCCCCCTTCCTCTCCCACCTGGGTCTCAGCTCCTGGCCCCTTCTCCCGGCAGGGTGGGCAGAAGGGGCCAAGGGTCCTTGGGAGGTGGGTGGCCAGCTCATGTTCCCCTACCCACTTCCGCTATGCTCCTCCCCCCTCGGCCGCTCCCTCAGACCAGCCTGGGCTCACCTTGCAGGGTGCTGGGGGGCAGGCGCATGTACAGTGGGTGCCCGTGGGCCAACCGCGGGTCTGAGAGGGGCAGCAGCAGCAGCAGCAGCACAGCCAGCAGCATGGCGACCAGGAGCCGGGCAAGCGACCCTGTCCTTGGTGTCCACCTTCCGGGGGCTTATCCTTCGGTGCCTGCCTCACGCTGCCCTTCTGCCCCTGGGCACTGAACTCTTGGCCCCCAAATCATCTGAGTCTATTCTCTTCCATCAAAATTACCCGCTTCCCTTGGTCAGTCCCTCACCTGGCCCTTAACTCCCGGGAGCCCACAAGAGAATGGGGCTTGGGGGGCTATATAGAGGACAGACAGGGAGGGATACACAGGAGGTGGGGGGCCAGCGTTGGGGGAGGGAACAGGGTAGTGGGCTTGACCCTCACCTTTGAAGTCTCATCATCCCAGCTCTGAGGCCCCCCTGGCTGTCAAAGGAGCCCTTGTTTCTGCGGCTCCATCAAACGGGCCTGGACAGGCCAGAAGAGCTGACGGTTGGGCTGGGGGCCAGGCAGAGGGGGCCTGGTGAGCAGGGGCTGGCCCTGTCTCCAGGGCTCGGATGAGGGGACGGGATTCCCATCTGCCTCTATTCCCTGAGGAGTTTACAGCTATGCTGGGAGCAGACACTCCCAGAGAGGGGGGGCAGGGGGTGTCTGAGGGTCCCCTGCAGCCCCACCCCCCGAGGAGGTGCCCGAGCTCCCAGCCTCTCTGCCCCTAATTGCTTGGCAGCGTCCCTCCCCAATGTGGCCATTTCTAAAGATGATCAAAGAGTCCTAATTAGCGCCGTAATTGCCGCACTGGGGGTAGTGGGTGGGAAGAGACAGAGGCAGGCGGATGCCGGAGTGGCCCCAAGAGGAAGGCAGGAGATGAAAGGCCCCACCAGTGGCCCAGTTCGGGGAGGACAGGCCCCAGCAGCTTCTGATGCTCTCCCAGACCCCCTGCCCCTGTGCAGAGCCCGCTCGGCCCGTCCAGCATTGTTCTCAGTTGCTATGACTCTGATCTGGCAGGAGGGAGTCTTCTGGAGTCTCACGGGAAGAGCCACAAATAAGCTGCTCTCCTGGGGCCGAGTTCCCACTTGGGCCAGAGAGGAGGTGGCCCTTCTGCCCAGCACAATGACCTGGGGCCAAAAAAAAATCCTGACACCCCAATTCACGCTGGTGATCCAGGGCGGTTTTGGCAGGCCTGGTCCTTTTCTAGAGCAGATTCTGTCATGATGTCTCCTCGGTAACATGTTGTCCTTTCTACTCCAGCCGTTGCTCCTTCTGCCCAAGTGAATGAGCCTCTAATGGGAACCTGTGTCCTTTATAAGACAGAGCCCCAGGCCTGCAGAGGGCCTTGAGTTGGTGGTCCCAGGGGGCTGATGGGTGAAACGAGGAGAGGAGGTGGCCAAATTCAGCAGCTTCTCCAGCCTCTTTCTTCCATGCCACTGAGCAGCAGAGAATGCCCACAACCTTTTTCCTCCCTGAAACTCTTTCCCCTTGATCGCTGTGATGCCCGTCATTTGGGCTCTCTCCCATCTCTCTTGGCACTGACCACAAAGAGGTTCCAACCCACTGGGACTCTGTTGGAGTACGCCGCCCACCCAGGGGTGTGCTGGAGTCAGCTCCTCCTGGCTCCTGAGAGCCAATTATTGGCATCTCTTCCCAAGTCTGCATTCGGTGACATCACATTGGTAGCTTGAAATCAGCCAGGGTGAGAGTATTTACACCATGGAAATCAGCAAATGCTATGAATCAGAGCTCTTTCCCCCTGGAGAGCCACTTGTTCAACATTTACCAACACACCACCGTATGCACCCACCTTCCCCTCCGCAGGCACCACCACACTTCATAGAGATCATACCTCTGATTCAGGAATGCCATGAAAACACTTTGAGTATGGATTATCCTAAGTGAATATCATGAAGTTGGAAATTACTTCTTTTCATCAGCACATCTATCCATCGAAATAGGGTGAATATTTAGATAGAGTATCTTTTTATCCATGATCTCCAAATTCTTGGCAGAGTGGGCGTTAGCTCCACACAGACTGTGTTTGAAGCATAAACAGAGGTTTGAGAAAGTGTCCAAAGGAAGATTATCTGTGGTTTCAAGAGAGAGCCACCGAGGTAAGGTAAAAGCACAGAAGGTGAGTGGAGAGGCTGACAGCTTCGACCTATCTTTCGAGCTTCTGCCCAGAGGTTCTTGCATCCAGGTTGAAAGGATTAAGGCCTGGAGCAAACCCCCCAGCCCAAGCCCCCTGTGGACACTTCCCCTGGGCAAGGGGTGCACTTCCTGCCCATTCAGCAACAAAGTCCCTCAGTGCTTGGATCCTGCCAAAGTGAGGTGGCCCAGGCCAGAGCACAGACAAAGCCTTCCTACCCCGCCTTCCTGCCTCCCTTCTGCCTCCACTTGTCTTCCAGGCGAGAGGCAGGAGGAGAAGACAGACCAGGAGCTACTGGTCTATTTACTGTCTCTTGCGCGGCAACTTCCCTCAGGGGAGACACCCGGCCACTGCCAAAGAAAAATCAGGGCCTCGCAGCACAGATTGCAATTCCACTCAAAACCCAGCTCACCCTTCTCTGCCTCTACTTGCTGTGCGCAGAGCTGGGTCGCCAGCCCTCTCCCCTCTTCCGTATATACCCCACCCCCAAATCCGGGTTAATTTCATCCACTTACACAGGTCCCCTCTTGAGAAGCATGTCTAAATGCACATTTCATGAAATCGTTGGGTTTATTATCAGTGGTTGGTGCGCTTGCTCCTGGTCTGCCTCTCCTGCCAGCATGTGATGGAGAGGCCTTCTGGCCACTGTCCCCGCAGTGCCTCTCATTCTCTGTTACACTGTGGGTGCCCTTGTATTTTCTTCAGAGCTGTCGTTTCCCTGTTGCAGTCTGTCCAGTGGGGTTCCAGCCTGTTACAAGGGGCTCGGCCTCACATGGTCTCCTTGACTGGAAAGTTCCCCCCAGACCTGCTTGCCTGTTGCAGATCTCACTGCTGAACCCCTGTCAGAATCCACACCCTCCCCACTGCCCCTCCCCCAAATGGACAGGTCGGAGGAGGGGGAGGGTGGGGCAGGAGGGGAAGACCTGGGCTGGGTGGGGGGTGGGGGGTGGGGGGTGGCACAGTGTTGGTGGAAGGAGCATCTGCCCTCACTTCTCCAGCCAAGCTGGAAGGAAGCGGGGAGGTCCCAGGAATTCCTCGCTGGCAAGAGGGAGAGGGTGGCATTTCAGTGCCTAGATGGAGTCAACTTAGCCAGAGGACTCGCTGAGCAGCTGAGACTCCCGAAGTGACAGTGTGATGAGGCTGCAGAGTGGGAAGAGGCTGATATCCCCACCCTGAGGTTCCTGGTCCCTAAGAATTTACAGATGCACATGTGCCCGCAGGCCTGAGAGTTGGTCCTGAGTGTGGATGAGACTGGTGGCTTCAGGCTTTCGGGGACACCTGCAGTGTGGGGGGCAGAGTGCATCGTGGTGCGCGGCTACCAGCTATGCGTGGCTGCAATATACCTGTCTGGCAGGCAGGGCTGGCTGTGTGATTTGCAGGGGTCCCGGGGCAAAATGAAAACTCAGGGCCCTTTGTTCAACAATTATCAAGAATTTTAAGGCTGTGGCAGCAGACTTTGAAACCAACTGTGAGGCCTTGCTGAGCACGGGTCCCTGTACCCAGGGGAGCCACCCCAAGGGAACCTCCTGTGAGCGGGCACCTTGGTTCTGCTCTGTTGATAGACAAGGAGCTGGAGCAGCATTAGGGCTGCGGCTGTGGTCCTGGGCCTCCCTGCTCCAGGCAAAGCAGGAGCAGGTGCCCCTTTCTCTCTCCTTACCCCAACACTGAAGGACGGGGGAGGAAAAGAGACCCCCCACACCCTCCCACCCCCTCTGGAGCTTCTGAAGCTTGCCCTGAGCTCAAGGCAGCAAGAAGAGCTTTACATTAAGTGAGAAACTGGAGTTTCAATGGATGATGCCCAGAAGAAGATTCTTACCTGGCAGGTGGAGAATGCTCAGAATCTGGCCAGATGTTGGGAAGGGAGCTGCTCCTTACAGTGGAAAGGGGCCTCCACCTGGCACAGTCGAGGGCAGTGCCTGGAAAAATGAAATCGTTTCAAGTCTATGTCCCGATGAGTTGAGATTCCCCAATAAGCTGGTTATTAGAGCCACTTGCAGTTGAGAGCTTGTCCTTTGTTGTCTGTCTGCTGCAGGGGAGTGAGGGTTTCCGTCTTGTCCCTGTGGTGTCCCCAGCACCTAGAACAGAGCTTAACACACTCGTATTTGCTACACAAATGAAGAAACGAGTGATCAGTAGTGGCCTCTCTTCCTGCTCCAGGCCTGAACTCCCTGCCTCCTGGCACGTCAACCTCAATCTGTTCAAAGCGGTCCTGGGGTCTCCCTGGCCCCCGTCGGCAGCCTCTCCAGGTTGGGGGGAGGGCCTAGTCTGCCACCCCTTCCCCCCCATGCTCACATCCAGTCTGTCCAGTCCTGTTCCCCTCCCCTGCAGTTTGGGTCAGGGGAGAGAAGTGACATTTTCCGGGGGCCCATAGGAACCAGCACTTCACGTGGTTGTCTCCACACTCAGGGAAGAAATGAAGCCCAGGGCGGTCACCCGGCCAGTGGGCCGAAGAGCTGGGCTCTCCCCTTCTTTTGCTGTCCCATGGTCTTTCCTCTCTATCTCCCCATTTATTCTGGGGGGAGAGGCAGGATGACGGTCCAGGGTGTAGGAGAGATGCAGAACTTTTGGTAACATCTGGGGTCCCCGGTTTCTCTGCCCCCCTCCCCTCAGCCCAGGCTCCAGGCTGGGAGGGGAGCTGGCCTTGTCTGCCATTTGCAGACCCCCCACCCCCACCCTGCCCCAGCCCTCTGAGGCCACAGCTGCCCCACTTCCCACTTCAAGAAGCCGAAGGAAAGAACTTTGGACATTCTGTTCCTATCTCTGGAAAACCCCAGCAGGCTCGTGTCAGGAGGCCCCTGTGGGCTCTGGTGCCCTGAGCCAGCCCCGCAGCCTCCCCACTGGCCCAGAACCTCCCCTGAACACAGAGGAGGGTGGTGGGGGGACCCTGGGCCTCTGGAATTGGGGAAGGGGGACCTGGGCACTTGCTGCCCTGGGGAAGAAGCTGCCTCCCCATGTCTCTACACTTGTCCTGTCTAGGAGGACCTTCTTCTTCCTCTCCCCTGGGGACCCTCCATGTCATGGGTGTGCTCACCCCTCCCTCCACCCCAGACTAGCCTGAGCCCCCAGCCCCTTCACGGGAGTGGGCAAAAGGGAAGTGAGAGGGAGACTCACCCAAGAGCTGACCAGGCCGCCTTTGGGGGCAGTGTCCCTGGACACGATAGTGGGGGCCCATAGCTATGCCAGCCCTGCTGACCCAAAGGGGCCAGCTGGGCACAAAAGTGACCACATGCTGGTCTCTGACTCATTGAAGTGTGAGGGGAGGTTGAAGTCAGGGTCCCCTTGGGATAAGAGGCTGCTCAGGCCATGATTCAGAGCTTGGAACTGGGGTTCTGATTGTACCTCCAGGTGACCTGGGGTGAGTCACTTCCTGTTATGGGCTGAACCGTGTCCCCTAAAAGCTAAGTTGGTGTCCTAACCCCACATACCTCAGAATGTGACCTTACTGGAAACAGGGCTGTTGCAGACGTAATTAGTTAAGTTGAGGTCATACTGGAATAGAGTGGGCCCTCGTCCAACATGACTGGTGTCCTTGCAAAGAAGGAGAAGGGACACTCAGGGAGAAGGCCACGTGACGATGGAGGCAGAGAGTTAAGAGATGCAACTCAAGAAATGCCAAGGATTGCGGGTAACACCAGAAGCTAAGGGAAAGCCATGGAACAAATCCTCGCACACAGCCTTCGAGGGAGCACGGCCCTGCTGACACCTTGATCTTGGACTTCTGGCCTCCAGAACTGGGAGAGGATGAATTTCTGTTGTTTTCAGCCACCCAGTTTGTGGCAATTTGCGATGGCCTGAGGAACCGATACCCTCCCCTCGTCTTACCCTCAGGTTCTCAGTCTGGGGAAAGGGCTAATGAAGCCCATCTTGCTGGGAGGATTAAAGGCCACCGTTGGGCTTTCTAAAAAAAGGGCTGGGGGGGACGATCACCATTGCTCTGGATCAGCACTTTGTAAATGTATCAGAATCGACAGGATGCTGTTTCCCTGTGTAAACACGCTGAAGGCAGCAAGGGCCTGGTCCCAGGAGGCAGCAGGGGCCTGTGGGAGCCCAGAGAACAAGAGAGAATGGGACACGGGGCAGTGTCGGGGTGTGTAGGGCCCGACGTGCATCAGGTGTCTGAGTAGGGGCTCCCCTGGCCTTGTGGGGCCTTCTTGGGGGATTGCCTGTCTCCTTCAGCTTGCCAGCCTTGCTCGCTGCTCTGACCTTCCCGCTTTCTTTGGGCTGAACTTGACTTGAAGAGGGCTCTGGAGAGGCAGGAGTGCTGCTTTGGGGTGGGCGCTGCTAAAGCTGAGGCTGCCCCCTGCAGGCTCCATGGGTCTCTGAGAGTGGGGTGGTCTTAGGACATGCATGCACGGCTCTCGGTGGTTGGCAAGACCCCTGGCCTCTCCCCTCACTTCTCGTCCAGTATTCTGGGCAGGGACCACACAGCATGTGGCCACACAGCCACCCGCCGCCCGTCCCCTTGCAGAACCCAATCCTTGGTGTACATCCCACAATCTTTTCAGTCTCCATCTTCTCCCATCAGCCCCGTCTGAAGTGCTAGAGAGGAGAAGGGGGTCATGCCCAAGACCCTGCCCTCTGCCAGGCTCAATCCAGCCTTCTCCCGTGGGGCCAGCCCCCTGCCTTGGCCACTGGGATCCTGCGAGGGGCTCTGCTTTTCCATTTTAATCAGAGACTTCAACTTCTTTTTCTCTTTATTTAGTGAGAAAAGTTGGAGAGTCCAAAGAAGTTTTGCTAAAAATACCAGGAAAACAGAAACAAAGAAAATACAAAAGCACAAGTCCAGATGAGTTTATGGAGCATGAAATCTCATTCGACTCAGAACAGGTGCCCGCATGAGCACCAGGGTGGGCCGGCTCCCGGCTGGGTGTTTTATCTGAGTTCGAACCAGATGAAATTGCCATTCTTTCCATCAAAGTGGTCAGATACGGTCAAAAGAGTGTTGTGACAGCTTTATTTAAAAATGTCAATATTTACAAGTTGCCAGAAATTATATCTTTCTTACCATCTTTAAACACGATGGAAACTTTTACATAAGGAGGACACGTCTAGGCAAAATTCTTTTAAGTTGAATATGTGCGAAATTTTGAATACCGCTGCTCGACCTTGTGATTAAAAGAACGCAAACCCATTTCACCATTCTGTGTCCTCTCCTTTTTTCTGTCTTTTGTCATTCTTTCTTGTCATCTTTCTCCATAAGTTTTCTTTCCTTTTTCTCAATCTTGCTGTCAGCTGTGTTTCTTTGAAACTTGCTAATTTAATGCCTTCGATTTCTACTCCATGATAGATTCACTCTAATCTATATTTTTTATTTTTATTGCTTTCAAATGTTTGTTAATATGAGATGATCTTCTTCGAAAACACTCTCTCTCAGATGAAGAAACACCTAGTTTCCTTCAGCGTTACTTTCATTTATTTTCGTTTTGTTAAACTAAAATGAGATTTAATAAATTATATTTAAAATATTCAATCAGATCCCTTCTTACAGCACTATCAGTTTATCTCTCTGAACTTTTATCTGCATCAATGCCAAAAGAGATTTCTGGAAATGGTGGTTATTCATTAATTACGGCTATTCTGATAGGGAGATTTATTTTTATTTAGTTTTGCTTTTTGCTTTCTTCTCTGTGCTTTCCTGAGTTGCTTGAATTCTTTAAAACCAGCAGGTAGCACTTATACAAATGCAAAACATGAAGAGATAAAAGGAAAGTTCCAGACATCCAGTAGAAACCTTATCAACAATTCAGTTTGTTAATGCGGTATTTCACCCAATAATTATGGGCAATTTCATGTGGTTCAATGTATTACAATGTATCAAACCTTTATAATAACTGTTAGAGGCAGGTGTTATCAGACCCATTTTACAGATAAAGCCAATGAGGCTCAGAGAAGTTGAGTGACTCGGCCAATCACTGGAAACTGGAGGAGCCGAGATTAGAAACAACTCAGGCTGCTGGTGAAGGCCACTCCCTTGACCACCACCCAGCCCTGCTTCCTGAGTCCACAGGTGCTTCCTGATGGGGCTGCAGAGGGCTCAACACAAAGATTGAAGATTCTTCTTGAAAGGGTCAAGGGTTTGCCTTCCCTTGGGGGAGACTGGGCTGTGCCAAGGCAGGAGGGGGCAGGGTGGAGCAGCTGTGACGGTACCTGGGGGTGGGGATGGGGGTCTGCAAATGGCAGATAAAGTAGGGGGCAGGAGACCAGCAGCCTGGAGGGGTTGGAGCAAGGCAGAAGAGGAGAAAGAAACCAGGGCTACAGATGCCACGAAAGTCCTTCCAGCATCCATCACGCACCCCCAGGTCAGCTCTGCACCCCAGGATCCCTGAAGTCTGGGAGGCCGATGCGGGCTCCTCAGCCACTCTCTCTGAGTCCAGCTGCCATGCATGGAGTAGAAAGGAGAGCACACATACACCAGGGCCCCTCTGCAAGGCCTCACCACCCTCCAGCTGGGCATGTCCTGCCCCCCTTCCCACAACTCCAGGCCCCATCACCCGGGGGCCAGCAGAGGCTGGCAGGCAGAGCAGGGGACGAGAGTAGGGGGCTGCAGAGGGTGAAGCCAGTAAATCCCCCAAGGCAATTATGGCCGTGAGTGAGGCATAAATGAGAGGCTTTGCCTGCTGCGGCCACCCCCTCCTGTGCTTGTGCACACACACACACACACACACACACACACTGAAGTGCGGTCCATTTACAGGGTAATGGCTTTGCGACAAGCAGGAATTATCTGCAGCATTAGAGGCAGCCAGGCCTGGTGGGGCAGGCTGGGGGCAGGGGCTGTAGGCTGGGCCTGGGGGATACAAGGGAAGAAGCAGGTGTCCACGGGCTGGGCCCGGGGCCTCTGGGGGTGTTGCAGGGGTGGGAGGCACAGGTGGGGACAGCAAAGGGCTTGGCGAGGGCCGGGGCTGGGTAGATGACCCCTGTCCTCTACTGCCCTCTCTCCTTTCCTTCCTGCTTCCAAGGCCTGTGAGTGGGCAGATAACCAGGAGCACTAACTCAGGCCCTGAAATCACAGCCAAGCAGCCCTCTGCTCCTGTCCTGGCCTCACGGCTGTGTCCCACTTCTCAGACCCAGGCTGCTGTAT